AGACAAGGTAAAACAATTAGATCAATTGACAATTCATACAGGGTTTCTTTCTGTTTTGATGATGTGGGAAAAGATTTGAGTCTACTCGTTTCCCTATTCCACATGTAGACATGCCAAATAAAGTTGTTTACACAGCTCTCAAAACAGTTTTTAGAAATCAGTTGGTTTATAGACACAATCAAAATTATTAGTCAAGCTCTGTTAAATGTTACTCAGTATCAATATTCTAATGGGCCTTGCAACTATAACTTTTTCCCTGGCGTGTAGTCTGTGCGACAGTACCTTATTGCCCACGCATGGTTCTGTGAAAGTTCAATGCTTTGTTTAATGATGCAGTACGTACTCTCAGCTTGAAGGCATTTCTCGAAATTTCACTCGCCGGCTGTGTTAACCATTAACAGGAGGGAACTTTTTCCTTGCAATACTGCCCACAAATTGTCCCAAGGAAGTAGTTCGTAGTACAGCTGAATCGATGTGCCGGAGTCTCAGATTTGTATTTAAGCAAACGACCCCCGCCAATTTCTTTCCTTTATTACAATTGATATCATTGACAGCACAGCCGTTTTTCTTAAGTTTCCAATTTGTTGCACGAGGGGTGAATAAAAAAGTGAATGAGCAATTGGGGAAACTTGAAACTTCTAAATGAAATAACTTGCAGTTTAATTTGCTCTATATTGTCATTCGAAGAATAGAACGTAGCTTTGGCGTAAACATTTAACTGATTTATCACCCGAAGATATTTATATCGTGCCATAAATCGAAAATAAAACGTCTCCAGCTCATGATATATTAATCTAGACGGCGTAAATTGACTTAGAAAGCTTCATAACTGCTAAAATTTCGGTTTACGTAAACCCTATTGTTTCTGAAACAAGTTTAGTAACATATAGTTATTCTAGTACAAGACACTATATCCAGCCATAAATATGCGGGTTAATTTAGGTTTGGTAATAATTCTCAGCAATGGTAAGGATTTTCTTTCGAAATATAATCAAAACTTTCGACCGAGGTTAAGAATATGATCTGTGATTGCTTTGCTGACTTTTTCTCAGGCTTTTCACTTAAAAATCAGCTCTTAACACTGGCTTCGATTCATCCATTGGGAATTTTTAACTCCAAAACGAAACAAAGGACACTCTGTCTCTGGATGTACGTTTCATTTTTTTAATTCGATGTCTTTTAACCTAAACGCTTTCTGAAAACCCTTGATTTTCAGAAACCAATTTAGACTTGATATATAATCTGTGATTGTGGGAACAACAAAGGCGACACGAATTAGCTAGCGAGTGAAGACGTGGCTCATCAAAGAAAAGTCATCAAGATGACTGATGTTTACTTAAAATTGCGCCTCAAAACTGACGATTAGACAGCTTTTCTCTTTTGTCGTAGCTAATTGAAAAATATTGACCACTGGATACAATCTCATGCAAGAAATTTTTAGCCTCATATGATTATTACTAGGTTCGACAAATTGAGCTAGAGGAGGATCACTCGAATGAGATGCCACTGACGTATTGTCCGACGTTCTCTTCCCCCGTATGCAATGCTCTTTGATACAAAGTTAGCTTTTTTTCAATACTTCAAAACTGATAAATATTAGGACAAGGATTCTACGCATTCAGAGCCGGAAGCATTTAAAGAACGATCATAGTTGGCGATCAGTAGCGGTCTGATTCAGTTTGTGAAGTAGAATATAATAACAAAGTTTTGCCTTAGAACATTGAACAAACCTCCGGCGAGCTGCATGCAGCTTGCCTAACTTTACGCACATACCTCACAAATTGTTATCCTTGGTATGTTTATCCTTTTTGTGCAGCTAAAATTTCTTAGTTCTGTCTTCCAGAACTAACAGTAGGTTAACTAGTCTGCTTTCATATATTGGTGACAGTTCGTTCCTAGGCCTCCAAGGAAGGACCTCGTATTTATAACCATCGCGTGACCAATTCCTGGTTTAAATTCCGGGTAATTTGTTTCCTGAATTAAACATTACTAAACGCCGTTCAGTTTTACAGATATGGACTTATTACTGATGGTTAAATACCTCCTACGGATGTTAGCAACTTTTTCTTAATTGGGAGACTGCCTCTTTACGGCAATCAGACTTAAAATTTGTTCCATTGGCGGCATTGAATCCTCGGGTGGAAGGAAGGAAAGGAAATTACCAGGCACAGAGCTTAAACCTCCTGTTCAATCGGTTTGATATTAACTTTTACGTTGATTTAACTGCTCACAACTGACTATTACCCCGTTTAATCGACCGTATTTGTGTTTTCTGTTGTTTGTATAAGCTTTAATATACTTACACGTCACCACTTGAAATCCTTCAGATTCTTTTTGCTAGTGTTTCCTTAGCCTGGAGGTACGATTATTTCGCCTTTTTTAAGGGTTTCGTTGTTCTACTATTTTCAAAAGTACGACTTTAACCTTCCCCAGTTTATCTTCTCGCACATTTCTCTTTTCTTGTTTAAAAAGAACCTTGTTTGATTTATGACGCTCAGAACACAGGGAACAGTTATGTCGGTCGTGCTGTGTAGTTAATCGAGACCTGGTAGTAGGCAGTACTAGCACGTACTGAGGTGTGGATTTGAGAAAAAACAAGAGCGTTCATTTCATTTACAACTTTAACTTCAACGAGCTTTTATAAGCTAAAACGGAGAAAAGGAAAGTCATGTCTTAGCGTAGGGTATGCAGTTTTCCGGTAGGTGCATTGAGGTAGATGAGAAGAGCTGTAGCCTTTCATGATTGCACTACATGTATATCATCGATGACGTCTTTCTAACTTCTTTAAGATGCCTCAGTATTGCAGCGCCACCAATTGCTATTGTTTTCTGTGGCTTTAAGCAAGGAACTAAATGCGTTTTACGCCTCCAATCTACTTGATTTTGTAGAGTCTTGATATCGCTAGTATTCGCTCGCAAGAGTCGAACGGGTTACCCTATTTCAACATTGATTGTAATTTTAGGTCTGTGTATTAATTTGATTTTTCTACACCCTTTTGTTTTCATTTAGTTCTTTTTCTATCCTTAAAATCGCATTATTTCGAGATTAAAATTTTAGTTTTGTGGGGCCAATAGCGTAACCACGTGGGCAAGAGTACGTACAAGAAATGCTTACCTTCCTAACCTGACAATATAGCCATTCATATGAGGTTTTCGGGAAGATAATTCTCCGCATAAAAGACCTTTTTGTCATTGCTTTCTGTTGAAAATTTCTTTTAGTTAAGCAACTTAACGCTCTTCAGTTTTTCCCAATTTTCCTCTTGTAAAGCTGGTGCTTTGGCTTGTAATAAACTAGACTACACTGCGTTGGCTGGTGGCCTCGGCCGTCCAACGAACAGCTGCGTGGCGATCCTAACCAGTCGTGGGCGCACACTAAGTAGACTTGAATTTATTATAAGGTTTTGCAGTGTGGGGTTAAGAGCTGTTATTCATAAACAACTGGAATTATAGATTTACTTGGTGATAAAGAAGAGAAGAAGGGAAACTGTACGAGGTTGGTAGGATCCCCAGAACGTTATGGGCGTGACACAGAAGATAATCAGTTTAACACCCAACTTTAACTCAACTTATCTCGTCTTATTTTCGAATTTTGCCACAATCACTTTTACTATGTTCAGACTTTTTTTGAATAAGCTTTGAAAAGAGAATTATCAACGCTAAAAAAAGCTAGCTCTATATTTTTCTTTTCGAAGTCACTTGGTCTTCATGTATACACCCACGCATATCAGTAAGGTGGACTATGACTCGCGAAGAAATGAAGAAAATTTCTTTATGACAAGAACTCACATGGAATTATTAGCAAGATGGAGTTGATTGCTGTAGAAGATTGAAGAACTCCATTCCTAAAGTTGCGACAGCTGGGCGAAGAATTTTATAGAAATTTTGTGAACACCGTGTGGGCGAGCTATGCATATATTTCTTGAGTTACTCCAAAACAGTTATTCTCTAAAGGTTAATGTTCTTCACAAGTGCCGCTTTCTTCGGCTTAATTCAACTTAAAACTTAAACTTGATGCTGCGAACTGTTCGTCCTTCAAGGTTAAAATCTTAGAGTGTCGGGTTTTTAAAGTAATGCCAGGTCTAGTTCCCGTTAGGTAAAGAAAAAACAGTAGCAATGCTGACCATCACGACCAGTGTTAGTACTGCTATATATACAGATGATCTGGGCATCAAAATGTTTCCGATTTGGCATGCCAAAGCGTACAGCTTCTCGAAAGTGTTTTCCGTTACTACGTTAGTGCTGTAGGAATGTCTTACTTTACGTTAAATTTATATTTACACAGCGAGTGAGCCCATTTCACAACGATATATGTACATACAAGTAAAGTGTGATGTTCACTCGTGCGAAGCTGGCCCGTTTACCCTGTGAATTACATCCGAACTGGCGTAGCTCATGAAAGCGAATAAATTCTGTCGGACTGGTCAAGATACCCAGTATTTTATATTTTTAGACTAGAAAGGTACGTCTTTTTACTGATTACGTAAAATTCGTGATTGTCGCAGCGACAGTCTAACCTATGTTATGAATTAAAAAAAAATAATTACCTTCATATGCGGGAAAACGTGGATAAGCCATTGCTAACATCACCGACTGGGATCGTGTGAGAGTGTCACGTTCTAGGTTCCTTTCCTAACGGATTGAGAATGTGTTGATATTTTCCGAAGTATTTTTGTCACTACAGCTGTGTACCCTCGCTCGGCAAACACCATTCGAAATGATCCTCCGTTGGCCGTGTGCACGGTTTTGGTGTTGTAACCAATTATGCATATAATCGTAGGCGTTACGGCCTGTTGAACATTCTAATGACAAGCGACAGAACTGCTTGATACGAGCGTAGGTGGATAACATTATCCCATAACAAAGCCATGACAACCATTTCCGAGTAAATACGAACCAATCCCGAGTGAACTTCGACAAGTGTCGAAAAGTTAACGAGAGCCTTATTTGGTAGTGATGATGTAAAAGTGGTGTCTTCGTAGTATTGGATTCCGTCTTGAAGTGAAAGCGACTGCGTTGTCGGAAAAAAAACGCCTTCGCAGTTGTATTTGCCATCTTCACGGAAGATTGACAAAGCGATTATTTTTCAATGCAAAAAAATGTCTTCGTCAACTGTATTTTTAAGGTGAGTACGGATGCGTGGGTGATAAATCACGTGGTTAAAGAATTGCTAGGGCTAGGCGTTTTCCTTTCCTAACGGTGGAACAGGAAGCTATCCCAAAAGATAACCGGAAAAGACACTCGTATATAAATCGTATCAGGCACTGCATAGAACCAAAGCACGAGCATGTCGATTTAATATGCTCCTTTTGTAAGGTTGCGCAAGAAATTTAAAAATTTAAGAACGGCCGTAAACAGCACATGCTTTTTCCATGGTCTTATCTCTGCTGTTTTTATTTTCAGCGCTAAAGGTCAAACTTGATGAATGACGAGATCGAATGTCGTTGTCAAGATAGGACAATGTGTTGGGGAGTTTACTAGTATGAATTGTATTAGTGAGGTGACCCGATACATCTACGAGCCACCGTATTTGTTTTTCCTAACCCACGAAGCTTATGTAGCCAAAACAGCTCTTGATAATGACTAAGTTGTGCAGTAAAGTAGCGTGGCACTTTTCAGTTGACTGATCTCAACAAACACCTGTCATGCTTTTGTGGATACTACGCAAACTGCTTGAATGAATAACACTAAGTGAACTGCTAGTACTCACCAGTGACTCTTTCCGAGGCTGATAAGGCTTCACTTGCTCTGCCTGACGTACTTTCTGAAGCGATACAAAGTAAGGCAACTTTCTTTCCTCTAGCTTTTTTTTATTCCGTGGTATAAAAATAAATACTTATCAAGGTCTTCTGTTTTCTCTTATTCTACCGGAAAATCTCTATTAACGCTGACACGTTTACTGAAACATATTTCATCGATTAGGGTACGATTTCCTCCGAATGAACGTCTTCCAAGAGTACGTGTCTTACGGTCAAGAAATTACTGTGATAATATTCAAGGTTGTTTTGATGACCCATAACCTATCTGATGCAGTGATACATAAACCAGTCACTACATAAGAATCGTTTCTTTTTCAATGTGTTCAGTAATAAGGAGCCCAATGTCTAAAGTGGGAACCAGCCATTTACATGTCTGGCGCTTCTGATGTGCTTGTATGATTCCATTTGTGTTACCTTTGCTACAGCATTTATCGACGAAATTCATAGATTACTACACAGACTTTTCGGATCTAAGCGAGTGTTGTTTACATTCAATGTGTGATACAGATTAAATCTTTTTTTTTACCATCGTTGCCTCCGCATGCTTAAGTGACCGTGGGTGTTGATTATAAATGAACATACACGTTTATTTCCGATACCACGGTGAGTGATCAGTTGACTTGGGATCAACATTCGTGGGCATGCACTGTGCAGTCACAATGGTTGTAAACTGTGCAACCGACTTAAGACGCCTGCGAAAGGCATTTGCCAAAAAGTCAAATTCCATCGCGAATGTGTGGACTTTGGGACTGTACAAATGTAGATCTTTGGATGGTGGTCGAAATCATGAGTAGTATCTCCTGATCTACGAAGAAGAACTGTGCATTCTCCTTGAGGCTAATTGCGTTTATTATGCGTAGTATTTCAACATAAAACCGTTCATTAACGAGAGAACATGCTAGCGTTTCAGTACTTGTGTGCCTAGTCAATGAGGAAATGTTAGTATTACGGATTCGACTTGAATGGCTTAGAACAGTACGGAACCATTGCCTTATCACTGTCTTTCTCACTGCTTTCGGCTCGGTGCTTATAATAACCGTAGACCATAGGAATTGTCGAGACAAAAGGGTACCAGAATTCTGAGGAGAAGAATTTCGTGTGGTAACAGCCAAACCTTCCTTGAATTCAATAAATTTTTTTTCCTAAAATTATATGTAGGTAGCATCATGAATTAATGATTAACTTCCGTGGCTCGTATTTCTGTCACAAGAATATATTTTGGTCCACAGTGGGCGCGAGTCAAGAAGCAATTTAAATGGAACGAATAAAATGTTCATTATTTTGGGACACAGTACAAAAACTACGGGTATTGTGCCAGATCAGGAAACTTTCCATGATAGTGGATAAGGATAAATCGGTTCTTCTCGAAAAGAAAACGCGATTGTTTAATCGGCCTCCGCCCGTCCCACGCGCTGTGCAATAGACCCTTTAGTACGTTAAAAATAGGCTTACGGGTCCTTAACTCAGCGCCGCGAGAGAGCATAGTATACCTGCCTCAAATGCAAAATTAATTTTCTTAGACTTATTTAATATTTAAAGGACCACGGCCAGGCCATTTTTGGACAACAGGACATCGCGTTCGATGCTTTGTGTGGATAGCGGAGGATATCTGGGGTGCACCGGAAGCTCAGTTTGAAATTGATGAGATTGATGAACTTTGCTGATAAGCTAAACGACTCTGAATTCATACCCCCACGCTGGGAAACATGTGTGATTACGTGTGACCGAAAGCAAATTTATCACCCATATTTTAAGATACGTGTATGGACTCGATGAAGTGTTTAGGTTCTATCGATCGGGAAAGCTCCCCAATCTGTAGCTGTTTTATCTTTGAAAATGTATTCAAAGAGCGATAACTCAGATTATCCGCAATAAATTAGAGTAACTGCGCCAGTAGTATATGTAAAATTGTTCAGTGGCTTGACTTGGGTTGTTCCTCTCTCAGTTTCCACTAAGTAAACAATCTTATCGGAACCAAAACTGTCATAATGATTTAGTAGTGACCTCCAATATCCTTGGTGCTACAGTATTACTTCTAGTAATTGTAGTACTTATTTGATAAATAGGTTGGTAAAAATTACCAGTAAGACGTGAGTCCTGGTGTGGACCTCTCATCTAACTAAATTGCAAAAATTTTTAATTATTACAATTTTAAAATACAAATGGAAGTAGTGGAGGTAGGTTCTCTGACGTCTTTTGAGAATAGTACATGATCTTGTCATGCATTTAGTGTTAAAGAACAGCGTATGTGCGGACAAGCAATCACGAGTAGTTCAAATGTACTGTGTCGAGTCATCTATCTAAGTTTGGGACGTGTTAATCGGTGTTAGGCACGGACATCCCTCTTGATCTTGTAAAGGTGAAATTTGCATAGATGGTTAAGCGGGCACATTAAAAATTCTGGTATCTATAACCAAAATTAACTCTATTAACTCTGCTATAACAAAAAAAAAAAAAAAATAGGATTAGTTGACTTATGAAAACAACGCGACAGTCGAAGCTGTCATATAGTCATGTTGTAATACTCATAAGGGAACTCTCCTAACCTTTCGGCAGGGGCCAAGGTCATTAAGAAGAACAACTCGAGAAGTAAACGCGGGAATAGAGCACTGTCATCCTTTCTGCTCCAAAACTGCATGCTAACAGCCCATTTTTCTTCACTTTCGGTCAGCCATCGTATTCTATATCGATAGTTAGTTTATGTTTGTAATTGATCATTGTCCCTCTTACATAAACTTCCTAAAGGGTGGAAGATTAATTCATCTCAGCTTTTTACTTCCTTAGTTGGCGTTAACTGCCCTTGATCGTGCTACGCCGAATGATACTGAAGAACCGTCCTCTCGAGCTCACCTTGAAAATCACACATTATGGGGAGAAACTTGAGATCTTCATGTGAACTCCAAATTAGCGACGTAGATCTCCACTAAACCTCTTTAACCAAAAGCAGTTAAGCGTTTCAAGTGTTCACGTATATTTCCGTTATCCTAATTTTAATCATTCGACAGGAAGGGAGTTTAATCTCTGATAAAACTTCCTTAGCGAGCTTTACACCCTCGCAGAAGACGTGATCCTTCGTAGAAGCAGAACAACGCACCTTCTGTGTATGTGGGTGTACGAAGCATGAGATTTCCCTTTCCGTAACTGATATTAAGGATGTGTTTCAGACTCAATGTAAAGCGGATTTCCTAGCGTTCCTACTCGGTCATTCTTAACTCATTTCGAGCTATCAGTGTCAAATTTAATTGCTTACCGTTTCCTTAAAACTTGGGAAAACTTTTTTTTTTCAATTTTAGGCACTTGTGTTATTGCTAATGGGTGATTCAGTTATGGAGCGCAAATAACATTTTGCCCCTTTTCCTTTGTTCATTTTGTTAGCTGTCTAGACGGTAGATTACGTGTTGGATCAAATGAAGCAGAACTTCTTCGATTTTGTTCTGATAAACCGATCCTTGAGCTTGATTTTGACCTTTTTTCCCTAGAAATTAATACTAGGTGGAGAATGTTTAAAAAGAAAAAAATGCATATTTTCAGTAGCAAATTATACCTCATAGAAGTAACGCCTACTCTTTGGCTTTGCTTCCACTCTTAGGAACAGGGAAGGTCACATTTATTTATCATATCCGGACTGAAAGGCAATTCAGACAAACAGACACCAATTACTTTTATCTCCGGCGCGGTTGTGGGAAAATGCGAACGCTTCTTAAAGATATCAGAAGCTAGTAGAGTTGTTGATGTTTCTTAATTATCATAAAAAAAGATTCTAATTCGGTTTCTCTGACCGCCAATCTCAGAAGGTTTTGGCTTCTTTTCACTTTTTCTTCCTTTGCCTCACGATTCTCTCGCTCTCTCTCTCTCTCTCTCTTTTTTTTTTTTTCGTTTCTACCGTTTGCGTGTCTAAAAAAGGAGTTACTCAAGAGGCTGTTTCCTAGTCCTTGGACTTAATGAGCACCTGCCACAAACGGGTTTGTAAACTTGCCAGTTGAAAAAATAATCCATTCTCACTTCAAATAACCCGCTCGCTATGATTGGTTGAATACTCATTTGATAGGGAAACGGGAAATTATTTCGAGCCATTGTGTCTTATAAAAGTCATAAGTAGTTTAAGAAGGCTGTCTTTCCCTTCTTACACGTGGAGCTAGCACAAACACTCTTGAAAATTGCAGCTGTAGGCACACAGGCCCATAGAGCGGCGGGTTTGTTTCAGCAGCTGTTGACGTTCTTCAAGACGTCAACTGATTTTACTTAAACTGTATAGAAGCATGCAGCTTCTTGCTTTGTCATAGAGCGTGGGAAGAGTTGTTTCTCATATCATTCGAAAAACTTCGTAGTATGAATTAACACAAAACAAATACCTAGTATGAGGTGGAGATTAACTCTTAAAATTCTAAATAGTTCGTCAGTTTGTGTGTGTTTCCAGGGGCGTAGCATCCGTATGCTCACTTGAATTCAGTAGTGCACTTTTAAATTTGACGAAAACTTATTGTTGTTATTCGGTAAAGGTCTTCTCTATGGTTCATATATTGCCAAGACTGATTCTTAAGTATAAATGAAGCAACAATCGACCACGAAATCACCCACACTAGCTTAATATTTTCTTTCCTCGTATTGTGTCCCTTTATCCTTTGTGAAATATAATGTTACTTTATGTCAACCACTCGATTAGTACCACGAACTATTTTAGGCGTCCAAACTCCACTCAGCCGACATTGTGACAAAACTTTTTGTTCCTGCTTCCTATTTCTCTTTTTCTCTGTTACTGTTCTCATTCTGTTCCAGTGGGAATGAAATCGCCATTCGTAGGTTTAACTGATATTGCCTCGGTTTGAGTATGTTCCCAGACCTCGCTTGGCGCGCGCCTCGCGTTCTATTTCAACTCTGCGCCCGAGTGTTTCCCTCGCACTCATTTTTCTTTTTTCTGTTTATTGTATTGGGGAGTAGGTACTAATTGAATGAATAGTAGTAACCAGGCCAAATGAAAGACAAGAATAACTTGTAGCAATCGGAAACCCAAAAAGGAAAGCCGTGAACGGGACACTCAGATCCAAGTGAGAGAAAATTTGAAAATATTGCTGAAATCATGCTGTTAGCTTAGAACTTAAAGGAAGGCGACATCTTTTTCTCTTTTCCAGGGGAAGGTTATTTTCCGAAGCTGCTAGATACTACTCCAAACAAATTGCTAGACCTGCAAATATCTGGTTGGCGACACTTAGTTTCAGCGTATATAGAGTGAATTGTGTCACTTAATTTATGCACACCCAGGTTTGAAAGGCGAGGTGTGGTTGCAGAGTTGGTGGTGTTTCGTGAAGACGCTGTGAAATTGGCTACTTCTTCTGCATTACAGGTAAATTTCACAATCAAAACTCCTTGTGACTAAGATACGGAAGCCATTTATTCACATGATCGGAATTGCGTCTGATTGATTGCATTCTTGGAAGCCAATTTAAAGAAATGTTTTTATAGCGTGTGCTACGCCATGTTCAATTCAATGGATTTCTGTCTAGACGGAAAGGTTGCTTTGAAAATGCAGCTTCTTGTCGCGATTTCCTTCTTTTTATAGGCTGGTTGGGTTATTTAAAAATCCAGAATTATAGTATTGATTTTCATGTATGCTGTGAATGTTAAATCTCTGAGATCAAAGTCTGATGATCATGAGCACGTACGTTTGTTACTTTGTTCAGTATCTACACTTAGTATTGTCTATTGACTACGGTTTAGGGGTGAACTTGTCGTGAATGAATGTTCCTGCTGAGCCGATGCATTTAAACTTTCACACTGCCTTTCCTCGCTGATTGCTTATTTGAATTAGATCTTTTGTTGCAGATGTATGAGATTGTTTTCTCCGTACAATCACTGAATTCTATTTCAGTAGACAGTTGTGAGCAACTTCAGAATACCCGTCCACATCATTTAATCGACTCATATGTCGGGAGGCTTTGAAGAATGAGGTATAACACAATAGACGCTATTCTTATTCAGTGACATGGAAATGATGTGGCCGGTATTCTGAAGTTTAGCTGACAGTTGACTCAAAGAATTATTTGAACACAACTTCAGTAGCCTTTTGAGCATAACAAACAGTTTAATGTATGGTTTATTTTTGGTAATTGTTAGTGAACTATATTTACTGCATAATATGTTAGGAACTTTATTGCCTGTTATGAGAAGTCAGATTCTGCATGTGTATTTCTTGCTTCTTTTGCCCTTCAAATGTTGTGAAAATGATAATATATTTTAATGGGTTTGGAAAATTGTCCTACCTTTTATGATGGTCTTTGCACATTTGGATTACCTTGCCTCAGCATACTTTTTGTACATGTGCACTTTATAGCCTTTGGTATAATTTACTCCTGAAGGCTATATTTCTCAGACAGAATGTTCCTAAACCACAAGTCTTAATTTTTAAATCACTACAGGTTTGATCTTCCACCAAGTGAGACCTATTTATGGACAAACATGATATATGTCACTGATTAATAACTATACCCAAAGAGTGGAGAGAAATAATCTTTATAGTTTTTTTTTTTTTTCAACTTGTGTTGTCATGCACTTAATATTCAACCATGTGTTTTATATTATAATCTACTCCTGCATCTAATTTTAATGAAAAAGACTTGGTTCAACAGCAAAATTAATCGTCTAACTCGCCTTTTTTTACAAAGCAAAGGTAGTTGTGGTGTAGCTGAGTTAACCAGGGTTATGATACTCTTCACTTCAACAAAATCCCAGGGAACAAAATGAATTGGACATCCCCCAACTGCATTTTAGCTATATATTCTTATCTTAATGATGCCTTAGAAAGTTCTGGTATTTGCTGTTTACTTTTTTGACCTTTGAATTCCCCTTTGTGTTTCCACAGTCACTGTGTGCTTGTAGTTGTGGCTTAATAGTTATTTGGTTTTTCACCACATCATGGATGCACTCAAAAGAAAGGCTAAAGAAACTATGGAGGATACTCAACGGGCAGAAAACAAGCACAAAGACCTAATGCGTTACCTCAGACAAGCAAGAGAAAGGGCTGATCTGGCTAAGGATGAAAAAGAGGCACTTAAGCAAAGGATCCAAGAAAAAAAGGAGGAATTGGCAAACAGCTACAGGCAAATCCAGGAAAAGCAACAAGGTCACCGAGCCACAGAAGAGATTGCAGAAGAGAGTGAAAAGATCAGAAAGTCTCTTGAGTCTAAAGAATTTGAAGTCAGTGATGTACTTGTCATGCTTGAGATAAAAGTTAGAGATAAAAAGAGACAAGCTGACGAAGCTGAAGAGCGTTTGGCTGAGGCAAAGGTCAGGCACAGCTCCATGAAATGTGAACTGAGTGAGCTTCTGGCAAGATTGAATGCAGCTGAGTCCAAGATTGTTAAGCTCAGTGAAGAGTCTGATTCTACCACTGTAAGACTCATAAATTTGGAATTAAAGCACAGGCGATACACTAAACGTGAAGAATATTTTGAAGATGAGGTTGAGACCAAAGAGCAGCAAATCAGGAATTATGAAACAGAGGCCATCGCTAATGAAGCTGAGATCAAGGTTCTACTGGTTGCGCGGGACAGATTGAAACGTAAGAACTATATGTACCATTTAGTGCACATTCTGATAACAATAGAATATGGGGTAAAAAGTAGCAGTCAGGATTTCCATACTGATTTCATTGTCTTTTTAAAAATGCTGTTACAGGCAGGTAGCTGCCCTGAGTAGTTTTGAGTTACAGTATAAAATTGAAACTGAAGTTTCTTCCACCCATAGAAGTTGGAGGGAACTTCTGGTGAGAGGCCTGGGTATAATGTAATTGTCATATTGCACTGTTTGCTCCTGGTTTGGACCTTGAATTGTGGTGTTTTGTTCTTGGGTAAGGCCTTAAGACTCTAAAAGTACCTCTCCCCTGAAGCATTCTAAATGGGAATTAGCCAGTTGTCACAGAAACAGAACAAATACTAGGGAAAATTTTATGGAGAAGTATCCTGTGTCCTGGGTTAATGGTGAAACTCTCAGTCACTCTAGCATGCAGGCAGGAGGTTGTTAAACTTTTAGTAGCAGGGGCAGTCTGCCTCTTTTTAAGAGGCAAGTATTTATATTGTTTAAGAAATTCAAAACCATCTGCACAACTTGGGGAGAACCAGATTTAGGTGTCTTTTTTTTTGTTTACAAGTCTGTTTCCATTTCAGAACAAGTGAACAAGTGGAAAAAGTATGTAGCAAATCTGTCAAGGGAACTGGACGATGCAAAAGCATATCTTGGTCATTAAACAGCAACCTTTCATCCATTGTAAGCAACTTACCAATTAAATGTGTATTATCTTTTGGAGAGGAAGATTGTATTTGTAATATATTAAGATGAGTACTTAAGTGCTACAAGAATGGCCCAGATTGGGAAGTGAGCAGCAACATAGTTATTATGTTTGTTATGTGAGAACCTGTGTTAGGAATGATGCAAGAGATTTCTAAGAGCCTTGCTAGTTTAGTCCTCTTTTAGTACTGGATTCTCTAGATTATTCATTTCAGATGATTATTCTGTGTGTGCAGATTTTTTTCTGATCTTTTAGAAGAGAGCACAAAGTTAATTGATGTTCTTACATTCATTTGACTCATAGTCCTCAACATGTTAATTGAGGATTTTCTTTTCCCACTTACCTAATGATATAAGTTTCCAACAGGCAGGTCCATATTACCAGAAATTAACACTTATATCTCACTCAGTTACTTGGACAGCAAAAACTGTCATTACAAATATCTGATAAACTAGTTTTCCATAATTTAGTTAGTAAGAGTTACTTTCATGTGAAAACAAAATCATTCATTTGTTCTTGGAAAGTATTCTGAACAATCATCGGTTTATAGAAATGAACTCTAGTAATCCTCATTTACTTTAGCCTGGATAACAATTGCTGTTTAGGAAATGAGCCTATGTATACCCTACCCCTAATACAGCTTTATTAGTGAATGATGAGTATAGTATTTACATTAAATTAGGCTCCTAACAGCCTTCTGTAACTGTAGTAGATGCAGATGCATTTTGAGATTAGCTACACCTCTTTCTTGTAGGTTGGCTGTCCTAGGGTGCTCTTTAAATTTATTCTTCCTCTGGGTCTTGAGGTTAATTCTTACAATAGTTTAAAAGGGAAATAAAGAGCCATTCTCACTAAATCAGAGTGGTACATAATCTGATTATTTTGATCTTAATATCAAACAATTTTTTTTTAAGTTTCAGTTTTGGAACTAGGATACCAAGCTTCATAGGTTAATTAGTTCTTAGGGAAGAAATTAAGAAATTTAGTCACTTTTCACAGCACATGATATTTTTGTTTCCCTGTTTACTAGAGTGGATTTTCCATTTTTTTCTAACAAATTTGTATTGAATAGTAATCAAACTTAAGATACTGGTACTGTTGGAGTGGTGATGTTAGCAGTGTATAAACATATTGTTGAACCATAACTTTGGTTTTTCCAGAGTTTTCTCGTTTTTAGGGCCCTTTTGAAATGAATTTAATGAGACTACCAGCAAGTACCGATAGTCTTTTATTGGTAAATTTTAAAAGCAATAAAGTTCCCAAATACATAATTATATTTTTTGTCTCTTAATTTATTTCAAACAATGGTGTGCATTGGGGGTATCAATTATAAGTAGTGAATTATTTTATTTCCTTTATTTTTAGATGTATATACTGTCATGCCTATCCTTGTAAATTTTTTTTTTTTAATTTTTTCATCCACAAAATTGATATTCACGCTTAAAACTACCCCAGCTTATTAGCACTTCCTAGAATTGCAAGAGTAATCTTTGTAGTCATCACTTTGCAGATGAAATATTTGCACCCATAAATTATTTTGATGAATTTGAAATGCACACTATTCATTTGTAAAAAAAAATAAGAAATCCAAACCATTTATTTTGGTGACCCGTGAACTGGCTCTTTTGGCCTTTACTCCGTCAGTCAAGCTTTGGCTTTGGTCCTGTTGCCCCTCAAAGAGATGTTAAATGAATGAAATTCTTTTATTCCAGTGAGTGAACATAATTGGGGCCATACACTCGGGACCATATGCTGAGGTAACGTCGCTGTTAAAGTGCCTATAACCCCAAAAATTTTTTGGCCGTGTTAAATCTCTATTGCGCTGAACAAAATGCCGCAAAAATTTTTGTGTTTGGTTAAAACCGCGACTTTTTATGATTTTTCAAAGTCGAGTTTAGTTTTCGAACGACCGAGTGAACCAGAGACTGGGGCCAGTGATGTCATTCCACGCCATCGGCAGTGGGGCTCCGATCCAATCTCAGTCAATATTATAAGTTCCCAACGAGATGAAACCTTCGTTGAAGCCTGATCTGGTAAATTTTTCTCACCTTTCTCTTCGCTCGCTTTCAGCTGATTTCGTTTCCTCCGACATTCCACGCATGATCAGTCGGAAAGGCGCAAATTCCAACTCCATTTTTTCGCAACCTTCGTTGCATAGTCTTATTAGTCAGAGCAGAAAACATGACTGAATAATCTTCTTCTCGGAAGTGATTGGAACACATGGCCGAGTATTTTGTGGGCTTCCAATGTGCACGCTTCAATTGCACAAAGTCAACCCACTTTTATTTTTTTTTAAGCTCCGGGTCATCTGCGCCATATAAAGGTATCGGATGAAGTGCTATTCTTTTTTCTTTGTTGGGAGTGTTGCTACACCCGAAAACAAAGCACTTATCAGGCATATCCGTCAAGATACTTCATCCAGTCCTTGAAGCAAACTTGAATGACGTCACAAACTGTGCTCGACCCAGACCCATCTTGATAATTCCGTGCCTAGGTCGTGTTTTGAAAACATGCGACTTTCCACGACTTTGAAAATTCATAAAAATTCGGGGTTTTAACTAAACACAAAAATTTTTGCGGCATTTTGCAGCATTTTGCTCAGTGCAAAAGAGAGATTTAATATGGTCAAGAATTTTTTTGGGGGTTATAGGCACTTTAAAGGCTTTTAGTATTCGAATTCGGGATGAAGAGTAGTTAGTCAAACCTATAATACTTGTTCCAAATCAATGTACCCAGACGACCCTATGTTTTCTTACAAAATGCTCTTTCTTTTTTGTTAGGATTATGTTTGGCATGGAAAAGTACCAACCTCCCAATTTAAAACAATTTCCCTAATACCTAGGCCTTCGGACTTTTTTGTAAAGGAGTCGGTTATCTCTTTCTTCATTGGTGAACATCGATGGTTAAAAGTGCTTGTGTTCGTCAGTAATAGACGTAATGATAAATTGAATGTATTCGTTTTGGCACAGTTACTATCTGCCGCTCCACTGGCATTTGGAGTTTTCTGTAAATTAAGACACTGCAGAACTATAACCTTGAGTAAAATCACTAGAGATATCTGTACATCGTGTATATCTCTGTATGACTCTACACTTGATTTGACTCGACACTTTGAAATGGTTGGATGTCTTTCATTGTTTATGACCTGAATTAAAGAGAAAATCGCAGACATTGCTTTGGTTCCCATTCATCTCGAAGCGCAAAAGATTGTGCCAGTAGAACTACAAAAAATCGCCGGCAGATTCTAAATGAGGTAGCAGGTAGGGGCCACCTTCCCCTTTCTGCAAGATCTCATATACGCCCCTATTAACGGACGTTGAGATGCTAAGCGCACGCTACGGCAGCGTGTACTCGAGGATAATTCATGCATGGTGCATTTGCTGTCGAGTAATCAGCAAACTTCAGATTCAGTTTTTTCACGGAATTCGTATCTCTACTGTTGGTGTCGTGACCACCAATGATAAAAAGTTCTTGCGCACCCTCTTCTCCACCCAACACCACAGCGGCTCCAGCTCCGCTGCGTGGATCCATTGTGTTGCGGATAATCAGCCATAGATTCAAGTCAGGATTGTACTTCTCTATGGAATCCAGGATTCCAATACTGTTACTGCCCCCCACAACGTAAATACGATCACTGAATGTCACCACGGCGTGATTCATCCGGGACTTGTTCATACTGCTCATATCGGACCACTTATTTGTCATTGGATCATAACACTCCACATGCTCAATTTCGGAAATCCCACAGTATCCGCCAACAGCGTACAGGCGCCCTTGCAGAGGTGCCATTCCAAAGTGGCTTCTAGGAAGGCGCATATTGGCTACCTGGGTCCATTCGTTTTTGATCGGATCGTAACGCTCTACGCTCTTGAGAGCAGAACCATTGTGGGATCCTCCAGCAGCGTACAGCCAACCCTCCAGAACGGACACTGCTAAAGCACCTGAGATCAAAGAAACGAACAACGTTATAAACATGACATTTTTTCTACTCAAGTTCTTGGTATCGGTTTCTTAGGAACAAGGTGATAGATAGGTAAAGGCGTCGATTTTTCGTTTCGATTGAGTTCCGTAAGACCAAAAATCACCGATTTAGCAGCAGCCAATCAGATGAAAGGAAAATAACACAAGAAGCCAAATGAAACATTCGAAGTGAATATTAGCAAACTAGGGGAAGTACGGGAAATCACTACTGACCAATTGGTGAGTTTGATTTCAATTTTGTATCTGATTGGTGGATGGGATGGCACGAGTTTTCTAAACCAAGCACCGAGCGAAGAAAGCCGAATAGCCTGTAATGCCTCTCACATACGTAAATCACCTTTGCATTTATTGAGTGACGCGACAGAAGTCCATTGCCCCACACAAGGATTATAACTTTCGACGGTCACCAGGTCAGCGTACTCCCTGTTAATTCCACCAACGGCATACAACTGACCATCGAGTATCACTGAGCCAGCAAACTTTCGCGGAATGATCATAGGTGCAATGACGCGCCATTTCTTCTCATTGAAGTCAAAGTACTCCACGTTATTTAGAACTTTGCGGTTTTCTGAAAACATGAAGTGTAAAAATGAGGGCTAAGGTCCAGTTTCAAGTGATTTGAGGATGAAGAGGCTTAGAGGTCGTAAACTAATTCTTATACTTCGCCCAAGAGAGTAACGTTAGCACTGGGAGCAAGGTGGCTTAGCTTGGACTAAAAGTTGACAAGAACGACAGAATGAAAATAAGTTGTAATATTTCAAGAAGTTTTTAGTAAGGAATAACGGACGTCATAGGGCATTTTTTCTTAATAATAAACTTCTAAACTCCATGGTTGGAATCTATTTTGGTTTTGAATCAGGAATTTTTATCCTTCTTGTAGACAGTGAAATACAAAACCATTTAACTTCATGAATAAGTAAGTCGATACAGACATTCTTGTTTAGACGGATTATGTCTTTTTTAATCACCTCTCCTGTGACTTTCCATGTAATGCAATATCGAATATTGCAATGATGACTCTCCTATAGACTCCCTATCGTCACAAGTGTCAATTCTACTTTACCATTTAGTGGTTCTACCAAAATAGGTTACCTACGTCAAACCCACTCCTACCCCTCAGGCTTATTTCATTAGCGAACTCACTGTTGGTATATTCGAGGTATATTTTGCACGCGCTATGATGAGGCCTTATTCAGGACACAGTTTTGGCGTTTTTACAACCACTTCAGAGATATTTGACTTGGTTTATGATCTTTGAAAACGATTTTTACCTTTTTAATACGGCCAACAATGTAGTGGACTTTAAAGTTATTGTTTTTATTTTTGTTTGTTTTTCTTTTTTCGGTTTTTCCGTTCTTATCCCGATAAAAACAATCAAAGGTTGTAGAGTTACGTCTTACGCTTCGAAATCCTGCTTTAAAGCATAAGTAGCTTAAACCGTACGCTAGGCTTAACTCGAAAGAAATACTGTCATTCTTTTTTCGGCGTACTTCTTGAAATTCATAACACGAGATGCGGTTAGAAGTGTTATCACATGAACCTTACGGCAAAAACCGCACTTTTATCGAAAAGTACTTAGCAAAAATCCTCGTATGAGAGTTGTGTGCGATGGCGTGAGTAAGGCTGGAAAAAGCCGCACGGTCCCGTGTGGTGCGAGCTAAAAGAAGGAGAAAACAAAGAAGGAAAAGCGACAGTCATGCGATAAAATGCTTATTGACTGAGCAAGGTCGGACCAGACAAGAAAATATTTTTATCCACGACGCCCGGACCTCACAGTACATTATTACCTCCTGCCTAGCGAAAGTTACGTCCCAATATTTTCTCTAGTCCCAGCAAAATATTTTCTCATCCGGCCCAGCTATTCATACAATAAGTGCATATGGCATGAAACATGAAAATCTGCGCTCTTGCTCCTTGCATCTTAGGGCGCCTTTGAGGAAATACAGTCAAACCTATTTTAAGTGGTACCGTATTAAGCGATCACCCTGTATCATGTGGTCGGTTGTCAAAGTCGCGAAATTTGTGCTCCTGGACTGTAACTTTTACCTTTCTTTTCACCCTTTACTGAGTCCCAAAGGTGTGTTTTGTATTGTCAATTGTCATCCACCTGTACTGTACGGTCACTTAAAGCGGGTCCGGCACTCAAATAAAACTAGGAATAATCTATTAAGTAAACTTTTATCCTCATTCATCTCCTGTGGCCAATTATGGCATAAAATGAAGTTTTTATCATTTCTTTATGGCCAGATTGAACATGAGCGCATGCGAAGACGAACGTGAAATATGAATCGAGATGTGACGAAACCTCGTTTCAACATATCTCAGGAACTCACTGCGTTAATATTAATATTTACTTGTGTTGTCGCTTAGGTGACAGTAACAGAAAGATTAGCTATGTTATTTATTGCTATTGTCAACCACACCGATCGGGTTTCCCTACCTTCACCGCCAACCACATAAAGCAAACGGCTGAGCCTTTCCCGCGGGATCGACCGCGTGATTCGGTTCTTTGTCCTTCGCTCAGGGATCAAGTGATAATCTATCGCCTCAAGAACAAATTGTCGGCAAGTTGAACTGCTCATGATAAGCTCCTCTCTAGCGGCCGTGTCCATCAAAAATTTGCGAGTCATCAAAGGAAATCGGACATGGGTCAATAATTCTTCAAGATTTGTGAGCCGATTGGTCAAATCGTACTTGACCCACTCCAGTGCTCCGAAGAGCACGACACTTTCACACGGGACATTGAGTTTGTCGTGACAAAACAATTTCACAATTTGTTTTACCGTTAGAGAATTGAAATCCCCCAGTTTGAGAACTGCCACAAAGTTGGAGCGAATAAAGGTCTCTGCTAGATCCAGAAGTTCTGTGCAGCCGTGCAGATCGGCCAAGTTCCAAATATCGAGGCAATTGTTGGTGTTGATACTATTCCTGAGAAAATCGTAACAAGCGTTTTCCACTGTTAGAAACTGAAGTAGGCTTGCCGCTGAAAGCAAGGAATGAACGTTAGAGAAAGTGATTCTTAATGTCGAAGTATAGGCAAAATCAATTAAGGTTTTTAAAGCCTGTGATTCCACTCCTCTGATTGTGATGTTTGTTTCGTGGCTTTCTTTCATGTCTGTCAAAAACATTGCTCGAAAGTAAGCGCTCACAGAGGCCAAAACGAGCCGGTGAGCATTGAACTCCTCTCCTTCTTCTGTTGATAGAACCACATCGCAGAAACAGTTCTCCATTCGAAAAACGTTCATCTCGCGAAGAGCCAGGCTCGAACCGTGCTCGTCTGTAAAATCGTACAAGACCCTTGAATTTTCCATTCTGTAGCCCTTTCGGGGCAGGTAATTTAAAATAAAAGCCTTATCAAAAGAAAAGACATGTAAATAAAAGCTGATCTTCTTTGAAAGAATATGAAATTCAAATTAGGCTCATTACTTGTGGTTACCTAGAGCCTAAACTTTCATTTTCGGCGCCATGTCAAAACAGAAGACATTTTTGTCCTATGTTATTGTTACCCGTGTGGCTGACGCGTGTTTCGCGCCCCAGTATCGTTGACATGTATTGTAACGAGTGCCATTGTTACGGATGTAGCATAACAATGGCTGTGATCTGCGGTCAGCTGCATCGTGTTTCCACGTGTAGGCTTTGAAAAGATGGCAGTAAGTAGCGGTGATTGGATAAAAATAGAACTGACGAGATTTCATTGGCTGGTGGTATTGTGAATAGCAACAGGTGGCCAAACGCGGTAAATAAATCTCCTTTGTTGGGGCGGTTTTTCTCTTTTGTTTTGTTGTTAAAACGAATAAACATTCTGTCGGGCAATATTTTTATCTGCGCAAGCCCTTGAGGTATCAAATGTTCGTATTTGTAAAGTTCCCACGAATGCACTCACTTAGTATTTGCGTATTACTAGACATCTTAAGGATATGTGACTCATTCTTGAAATAATGATACAGCGTTTGAGTTGCCGAACACGCAACGTTTAATGAAAGTATGTGGAGGGTTTCCTCTCAGACTTCTCGTAAGTCACCCGATTCGAAGAATCACAGTCCTCTAGAGCCAAAGATATGACGAAATGTTTTGATGAACTCAAATATTGTATTGTTTATTTATTTGCTTTTCTTAAGCGAGCGAATTATCGTGATAAAGCCTTTCAGATGTTTTCAATAGAAAAAATGAAGGAGATGAAAAACGTTTCCAAAAATAACCTTTAGCTATATGGGTGGTGTGTTGCGGCGCCGTGAGGTACTTCATATGAGAGCGCATCGCAATATCATACAGGTTCGACACAGTTCTATTTACAAACAAATTGCCAAAAAAAAGTTTATCTTTGTTGTCATAGTGTGTTTTGTTCATCGAAAATGCACTGTTTTCGGAGTACCCTCGGCTTTCATATACATTACAAGGTATTACGGCAAGAGCACATAAACATACAGCACACTGCAGCTAGTTTTTTTATGAAAAAGAGGATAAAACATCATTTTCATAAAAAATGGAACCGCTTTTCTAGAGGAAAATTTACTGCCCATCATTCTAAGCTTCAAAGAGCAGAAAAAGCGGCCCATATCAGCTGACCCTCTGACAAAATAGAACTTTATGTTCATTGTCTATTTTTGAGTGGTTAGTGTAGCATAAATGATACGTGAGGGGAAGTCGAAGGTACTGTAAAAGGTATTGGCATATTTTAAGGACATGGGTAATTAACTCTTCCCTATGAAAGAAGTGGAGACCGTAGGGTTTTCGGCCGAAAGATAAACCATTGAACAATGGTAATTTTCCCAGTTCATCTCCGCACTCAGTTTGTAGTTCGAGTCATGTTTGCGTGCATGCAAATTGTACTTGCTGATATGGATAAGCCCTCCTTTTCATTGTTATATTGTACGCTATTGACAAAAATGTATACGTTTAGTCGCATGGCTGCCTCGCCAATAAAACAATATTTTACACAAGCTTTGATCTCTCACACGCCTTCACAGCTCGAAACCACTGCTGAGCAGCTGTTGATAGTGGTTTGAACTGCGCGAAAAGTGGGTTGGAAGGATTCTTTTGAACAGTGCATGGTGAGGTCGAGATAGTCGTTGATTCGCAAAGTGTTAATGGAGAGCGAGATTAATTGAGCGTTTTATGGTCATTGTGATCGCAGATGTTCTGTTCACTGCTGAACAATATGGAATGATTTTCTGGTTAATTAACGCTTTGAGGACCGGATATGGTTCATCTGAAAATGAATAAAGATTCGAAGTACTTATCCTGTCAGAAAAGTGCATGTAACTTTAATCAATTTGTTACAAAAAATAGGAGAAAAGGAATCAGTGTTTGTTGATTAAAAAAGGCGGGCAAAATTCTTTCTGAATTATGCGATCAGAAACGGTCAGTCCAAGTTATCTTCCTCTGGTCCCTGTTTCATTATTTAACTATGAAGTGTCATGGCATCTCAACTGTGTTTTAGTCTCTCCGGAGCACTCTGACCTTATAGGTTACAATATGTTTGCCACCAAACAGGGTATGGTTTCCTGGAGTGCGCGGAAGCTTAGACCAACTAAAAGATTTGTTTCTGTTTATGTATTTTGTTCGCTCTGGAAACGGTTTTCATACCGTATACTCTTTGAGTTACGAATTGACAAAGGTGTTTCAATTTCTGTTGCTTGTGCAAATGAAGGGATACCATAAAATTTGCAACGTCGAAATACGTATTAAATCAAAACAGATTCACATAACGTTTGATAAACTGCGTAAAACAGTCTGCACTTTCGCAATCATACGAAATTTCATAATGTGATAGTATGATCGTTCTTACATGAAACAGTTAGACATTGCCAGGTTACTAAGGGATAGGTTTTCAAAATGGTGGTCAACACGGAGATTCTTCTTCAAGCTTGGAGGGAAAGATGGTCTCCATTACGGTGGCTAGTAGAAGTGAAAAAGCTGGCTGGGAAAGATAACGAAGAACTTCAGGACTTGGCAGGTTATTTTATGTTTTTTCTAAATGTTGATGAAGCGAGGAGGGGAGACGTCTGTCATTGCACGCCGTTTTGATCGAAACTGAAATTTAAATTATTGCAATGTGATACTATGAATTTAAACTTTCAGTACTCGTTTTATTCTTAAGATATTGATATTTAACTTTTCCCCGTCTTTAAGTTTATCGTAACTTCGGCGTGAAAACGGTTATTACTTGTGAAAATAGCAATCGGCTGGTCATTTGAATTTCAAAGTTCATATCATGGAGATGTAAAATTTGACACGAATGTTCTAAGGTGACTTCATTTCGCTGATCAAGTTCCTTTTTCTCGAAACTTGTATGCTCGACAGTTAATTCAAATTTTATTGAGACCTTTCACTCATGTTACGTATTTATTTTGATGTTAGTTCTTATTGTTTGTTTTTTATTTTTTCATTATTGTCCAGAATGCCTTGTTCAACAAGCTACATTTGGCAGTACACCAAGCACTTTGATATTATCGTATCTTAACCATGGGATTTCCACTAAGGTATGTGGTGAAAACACTGAAATTGTTACAATCATCTACTCGTAATACACACATACTGAGTATGTTTTTCTCTTAGGTCATTTCATGTTCATCAGCTTTGACAGCAGTTCATCAGGTATGTGCATAAACTGATGTAAGAATTCTTGTTACTCAGTTGTATAAGTTACATGAAAAACCACTTCATTTCAAGCAATGCTAACAGAGTGAATGTCATTCTCCTTGTTTGATCTTGTTTCTTTAAAAGATCAATTTCTTCTTGGTAGCAAAAGACGTGTCTGACTATCTTGAATCACACAAACAATTCCCAGTCTCGTGGGATTTTGTCTATTGTGTGTTCATTCTAGTTCACTGAATATATAAATCTTAAAGTGCACCTAAACCCCAAATTTTTTTTTGCTTAACGAAATAAGTGTATTTTTGGAGTATTTCTGTGCAAAAATTATTTTATTTGCTCAAATCTTCAATTTTCTGTGCCCAGTCAAAATACGGAAAATTGGCTGGCACCTTGGCTCATGACCAAGTTTAAAGAGGAATGGTTCTAGCGGGTAATGTGATGTCAAATTGAGAACATGAAAGTCTGCATTTCACACATTTTCACCTGTTTGGGAAGGTTGCCATCGATATTGTCTGAAATATGCCGACTAGGCGTGTTGTATGAGAAATGTATGAAGCGTAATACCCTCTTGCAAATTTCACACGTTGCTACATCCTCCTACGAAATGCACTTATTTCGTTAAGCGAAAAAAAAATTTGGGGTTTAGTTAAGTTCTTTAAGTTCATCTACAATTTCCTTTAGTGATGTAAATTTTCTGAATAATTGCAAATGTTTGACTCTATCTTAGTTTCAGAATATTATAAAACACAAGTGCTTATCAGCTCTTCTTGATCTCCTGCTTAGTTTCATTCCAACCATAAGGTAATGAGTGTGATTAATAAGTACTTTAAAATCAGTATAAGTACTACCAAAATAACATCTAGATTTACCAATCATTATAGTCCTATTTTGGAGAGGATCTATCAGTAACTTAATCATTTTTAATCTATCTATTTATTTATTTTATGTGGTAAATGAAAAAAGCAATGATTTTTTGAAAGGCAAACTTTTCTGGCAAATCTTTCCTTCCCTTCGTAGTTTCTTAAGTTACGAATATGGCATGTTGTTGTTAAAGCTATGACCTTTAAAATGAGTCATTTCTGACTTTAAACTCTGATAACTTTTGAGCTTGATAAAATGTACACAGCTTTTTGACAATTATGAGAGTTAACTGTGGTAATACCAAACTTCCTGTCACTTTTAATTAGTACCTTCAGGTTGGAACCATTTACTGATGAAACCACAAAAAAAGGAAAGATGTTTATTTTCAAAATATTGAAGCACTATATTTTCTTTCTTTTCGAAGTGGTCCAGATAGTGATGAGGAATGTCTGAGGCTAGCAGTTTCTTTCATCAAAATTTTGTATTGGCTTCTTATTGTTTCTACAAGGTTACTCAAGTTATGTATAGAGGTTTGTAAAATATACCTGTATCTTTGAAACATCACTGTTGACGGTGCCAGTCTCACGAGCACCTTAGATATTTATAATGCTCATTCATGTGACATTGGTAGAGAGTGGTGTACTGTATGTAATTAACAATTATTTCACGAACGCGCGTTGGATATAAGATGATAGATAGCCAACAAGGCGCGTAGCGCCGAGTTGGCTATAATCATCTCATATCCAACAAGCGCGAGTGGAATAATTGTTTTATTAAAAACGCCCCCAAAAAATTATTATTTTGTAAGAAGAAACTGGATTTTTGAGCTCCCTTTTGATTTTAAGCTGACGCGTATGCTTACCATATTTGTAGATTATGGTATATTGGCTCATATACCATAATGGCTAAGCCAATAAAAAGTCTTGAATTGCATTATCCAATGATCCAGTTTTTAATAATTATTTATTATGTGATATTTACATAATATACCTGTAGTATTTCCTTGAGTTGTGATGTGGTGATATTAGAACAAAACAAAAAATTTGACACTGTCTGTATTGATTTCAATCAATCAATCAATAATCTTTATTTATACATGATGAGTATTTAAAGCGACACTTCACTTGTGGGGTTGTGTCTAAATAATTAAGTAAGATAACTAATGAATTAGAGAATCAATAGGATGCACCCAGCTAAAATCATATCGCTACTTACTACTTACAAGTCTAAAACAATAAAAGCTTAAAATTCTAAAAAACAAGGTGGTACTCTAATATCGTCTAATTATTAACACTAATTATTCTTAAAATCTTCCTCCCTTCTGGTTAATGTTTGAGGGGAGATACAGTCTAAACTTGTTTTAGAAAAAAGGTCTCTTCCTTATTATATAAACATTTCTCTATCAACTCAGGTGAAATGCTGTATGCGTTTATTCATTATACATTTCTCAAATTTGTACAAAATTTCAGGAATTTAACTCAGAAGTCTTTAATTGTATGGATCATAAGCAAACTTTGTTAGAAAAGGAATGATAAGTTTTTGTTCAATTCACATAATCTGTTTCATACTACCTCTTCTGTGCTTTTCAATAATGTAGTCTCTACGTCTGTCTGGAGGTATCAATCTCCCATTTCACTCGGCTAATATTGGAAAATGCCACAGAGCATTTGGACAGCTCATAGGTTCATCATCTTACAGAGCTATGGTTATTGTGGGAAAGATGGAGGATCAAGGTAACAAAAAAGAATTTTCTCCTTATTTACATGCCAGAGTTATTTCTTATTTTTTGTAATATGAGGTTAGAAGTCATGATGAAGGACAGGCAGAGGAAGGGGGAACACATTGCTACCTGACAGGCTACCTAAACATAATGTACTTGAGTGAGAGTGAATCATATAACATATATCATGCTCTAAGGATATTTATCTCTGTTTAGTCACAGCACTGGAATTAGACAGACAGTTGCAGGCACATCTGAAAGACCTTTTGATGACCCAACCTGATGGAGTAGTTCCTGAGGTACAGCTCTACATCAAAGAACTCATGGTTAATTTTAGCAGGTAGGAGAGACAAATTAAGAAACATAGTTTCTCTTTGTCTTGGTTTCCTTTTACCCCTGTTTCCTTAATTTTATTTATCTTTGGTCACAGAATTCTTCTGTAATGGTGGGCATGGTTAATGAAATTATTATTTTGATATGCATTTACATGTATGCATGCAAATTAGCCCTCTTGGCCTTTATTTTGAGTGAGTATTCTATTGTAACTTTTAAACTATCTTGCTTTTGAAGCCAGAAAGGCTCATGACAATAAAAGAACAGCAATTAGGCCTGCCATTAATGGAAGAGATTTATATCTGTCCTCTTACATTTACTCAGGTAGCTTCCCCAATGATTTGTCTCCATTAACCAAATTTTTTACCCCCTGGAGATGTTAGGTTATGCAAATTCATTCTATGTCTAAACAAATTTATTATCAATTATAAGGCCCGTCATTTATGAAAGAAATCTATATTTGTCCACCTTTATTTATCCAGTTAGCCTTCCCACTAATTTTTCTGTGTTGATGAAATATTTGAGAGGTTAAGTTATGAAACTTTATATCACGTGCAAACAAATTTATTGATATTTAATTTAATCAACTGATACTACCGTATTATCCTAATGATAATTAACAATTATTCATCAAAGTAGAGGTGAGTAGTGGTGGATATTTAACAAGCCATGAAGTGATGAGGTAAAATTAATGTCCACCACCTTCATGGAAACAAAAGTGAATAATTGTGTTAGTATTAATTACACATAGACCAAAAAATTAGTTCTCTCAATTTGCCAGAAAAATGTTCAAAATGAAACTCTTTATGGGCAATTTTGCTGAGCATCAGCTCCTCAGAGGTGAATAATTCTTGTTATTCACTTCTGAACTAGCCAATGAGTGCATGAAAAAGGCACTATTCACTTTTGTGGTTTATACCTGCAATTATTAGCCAATCAGCAACAAGAGATTAATTAAATTTTAGTAAAGGTAATTAACAGTGTTTCTTACTGCTAAAGATTGAGTAATAGATGTTTTTCTTACTCATTGATGATGATTAATAAATGTTGTATTCATTTGAAGATTTCAGAGCTTGAATTCTTCATCAGGGAGTGGTGACATCAGTCCGGGGCATGTTCCTAACATGCCTATCCAGATAATTACTCAGTTCCAGGTCAGAACACTTAAGTTCAAATTATGTAGCTTATGTAAATAATTTATTTGAATATTTATTGAATATTTACTGAATCTGTAGCCTTAAATTTTATCTTTTGTATGTTTTTAGTAAGGGAAATTGTTTTTATACAGGGCTAACCTCACGATTTTCCCTTTTCAGGATGTATTTTTTACATTCAAGTGTTCTAGCTTCCTGAATTAATGTTATGTTATGTTATGTTATGGTACAGACACCTCAATTTTTTTCTCCGCACTGCACGTGTATTTCACAGTTAAATGAAATAAGTTATCTTCAACTTAGGAGCGCCTCTCTCCAACAATGGGTAATTGAGGATGGGAAAACTGTCAAGGAAACATCAGAATAATTCTGGCTGGTAACACTGTGATGGACTGGCATCCTGTTAACTTGGTCATCAGTAATAATCCCAGTGGCTTCATGCTACTGGAACTGGAATAAATTCTGGGATGATGGGTCTTGTGTCCTATAAGCAGAGTATATGACTGTTCACCCTATACTTCTACTTGTTTTTGACAGGTCGTAGTGAGTCCTTTTTATACTCCACATCAAGTTGCTGATGTGATGGAAAGCACTATGCATACTCAGGTACAAGACTAGATCTCATTATTTAATTTTGATTATGATAAATTATTTAAAATTATTTGCTTTTTTCTTAACTCCATTTACACTTGCAACTTTTTCTTAAAAAATGTGTTGTTTCTAAGATTTTTCCTCTAGTTTGGATGGAAAAATGCCACCAGTCTTATCTTGACAAGTCAGCCTTTGTCCAATCACATAATTGGATAGTTTTTGGATTTTTCAGTGGGTGACTCAGCAAGGACACTTGTGTATGAGATTGATTAAGGTTTAAGGGAGATTCTAATTCAGCTAGTTTTCCCAAAAAAAAGTTATTGACAAGTTTTTGTTGCATCACAGCTGTTTGTTTGATTGTAGGAGTAATATTTTATCAAGTGGTCTAGCTGTCCAGGTGTGCAAAGTCCTGAGAAGGGCTGTTCTCAGATTTAGTGACTGATGTTTTGACAACCTTAGTGGGAGTCATTGTCAGAGTTAGGTCACTGCTATCTGTTGTAAAAATTTTTGTGAGTCATTTTAGCCATTTGATAGCCCTGTTTCTTGCCTTCACTTATGTCACCTTTCCAGTAAACCTGTTGGAGTATGATATGATATTTTACAGGAAGGTGACCTCAAGTAAATTCTTTCAATATATCAACTTTGTTGATATATTGAAACATCAGCTTTTATAATTGTAACGGTGGCCAATTTACCATTTCAACTTTGTTGATATATTGAAATTATTTTGTTACCCCCACCGACGCAGTCCCAAACAGTTTCTTTAGAAACTATCAGCCTTTATTCAAGTAAATTCTGCCAATTTCCTGTGACAAGTTCATTTCTGAAAGAAAATTGTTGAAGTTAATGTGGTTTGAATATTACCAATGTCCAATATAATTTTGTTTTTTTATAGAATGTTGCTAGGCATCAGCTATACTTGGAATTTCTGAGATCAGCCTTAGTTGGCCTGCTAGGAGCTCCTGAGAAATCAATGGAAATGATACTGTGGACAGGGTTTTTATTCCTGAAGGTCAGTGGGGGAAATTTCTTGATGGCCATGTGGCTTCTACCACATTTTTTTCTTCAGATGAAATTTAAAATTCTATAAGAGAGGTTCTTGTACAAATTTGTGGTAGACTCTATGAGAAGAGGTTGATTAGCCCCCACTAACCCTGGTGTTTCTATTTTCTGAGATTTTCTTTCTTCTTAACTACTGATACACTGTACCTGCTTGTAGGTCCCCATGGTGATTCGCCTGTTGGAGTCTAGATCTCAGCCTCCCATTCAACTTCAGCCCAGTCCTGTGGAACACTCTGCTGCACATACTGCCTTTCAACAACTGCTACAGTTTGCTCCCTTGCTGGATGATGCTGACAAGAAGTGCAGGTTATAAAACAATGTACTTCTTTAATTAAGACTGTCATTAGTTAATATCCTAGTATACATGCTCAGATTACTATAGAATCAGCTCTATATATAGTATTTTACTAGCCAGAAAGAGCCATTTCTTTTTTACAATCAGATGTTTTCGTCTTGTCAAAACAGTTATGAATGTGTATTCATACATGAACTTCATAATGGGCATTGCTCATGATAAAAGCTCTGTGGCTTAGTGGTAGAGCATTGGAGCATGGAATCCAAAGGTCTGAGGTTTAATTCCTCGTGGGGACCCAGAATTTTTTCTTTGTTCTACGCTCGTGACAAGATGAAAACATCTTTCTCTATTTCTTTACTGAGCTCCAAACTTACCATCTTTTTTCTATTTACAAACTAAATAAAAAAAATAAATGTTTTATATACATGTAGAGGGCCATTTTAGAAAGAAGTTTCTTACATGACTGGTTAATTTTATGCCAATCTTTGATTACTACCCAATGCCTTGCAGATGTAACTGTTACAAAGAATTAATCCTGCAGTACTGCAAAGACCTCAATCAACAGGTGGTTGATAGGATTGGACAGCTCATCTCTCAAAGGTTTGTTTCTGGTCTTTGTCAGAATTTCATCTTATCCCTCCAGGTCTTTCTGTGGTTGTAAACAGGTTGCCGTATCATTTGAACAAAAAGAAAATGCTTTGATTTCATTTGTTTTACTCTCAACATTTCTTCTTTTGACGCCAATTCTGATAATCCTCACTGGAAGCCTATGATACAGCCTGTTTTTTGTATTTAGAGTGCAAAGAACTGTCTTTATATTTTGTGCTAGCATAATAGACTTGGAATAAAGTTTTGATGCTTTTGTGACATTTATGTGTGGCAGACACTGGTTAGTTACATGCATCCAACCATTCATTTTCATCTCCACTCAGAAGTTTGCATGTTGTGTTATTTTACATTTCAGTAGTTGAGATATGTGCAAAGGGGTTCCAGACACCTGTTTTGTCGGATTATTCCCTTTTCTGTTACGATAACAATCTGCAAAACTTATCATCACCTCATTTTACTTTTTAGACTCTTGTCAGATGAAGTACAACACTTGTTAAGTATTCAAGCATCTTATAATCATCCAGCCCAGCAGGTCCAAGATGAAGGTTTGTGTATTAAACAAAGCAGTTTTTGTTGGATTGTTTCAGCTTCTGATGTGCTCCCCATTTCCTTTTGCCATCATTTTTCTTCATGATGTGGTGAAACAAAGTTAATGTTGTCTGTTTGTATTCGTATTGCAGAAAGCAAAATAATGGAAATAATCATGGTGAGTTTCATAAAAACCCAATCACCTAAGTATACAACTATTTCAGTGGAGATATAGTTGCACCTTTTTTAAGTGGAAACACATTATGCAGTCACCCTGTATTAAAGGGTCAATTGCAAAGTCCTGCAATTTTTTTGTTTGATTACTGTAATTTTCACCTATGTTATGAGGGCACTCCCTTAACTGAGTCCCAATGCCCTGTTTGTATTGTCTTGACCTGTATTTTTGAAATGAATTTTTCATCTTGATTTCACTGTTATCACTTTAAACATGTTTTTTTTTTTTTTTTTATCAATGTCATAGTCTTAAATGATTATCACCAGCTTAGTCAGTACATGTGCAGTGAACAGTTTGCATGATTCTGTTCAATTCCAAAATGATGTTGTTTCTTTATTTCAGGCTTTGGAATCTGATCTTAGCAGCAGAGATGAGAAATTCCTTAACCCTCTGTTAAATGTGGAGAAATTTAGATGGATGACGGTTGCTGCAGCAAGTGTGGGAAAACTTCCAAACCTTATAAACGGCCTTGTCAAGTAAGGATGTTTTGATGCTTTGCCTCAGCAAGTTACTAAACAACATAAGGTTTGATTATGTAAATGAAGATGGTCAATTTTTAAGCCTGGTCCCAGTTGTTCGAAGGTTGGATGATGCTATCCAGTTGACAAATCTTTATCCGGTGGAAAGTGCAGTATGCGTTTCTATCACTTATCTGCTGGATAGCAATTTATCCATTGGATAGCATTATCTGCCCTTTATTCAACTGGGCCCTGGTGTTTAAGTGAAAGAAGACATCATTCAGTAAGCACTCTGAGTTCTTTTACTCTGAGTATGCCTGTGTCATTCAATAAATAACATCTTCTTTGAACATGAGGTTTGCTTAAAATGGAGAGTTCATCTTAGTGTCAGATGTAAACAAATATTGCCTCAGGACGCAATCACACCTCCTTTGGAGTCACAAATTGCTGATCTGCTCTAATGGTTTCACACTGTGTTCTAACAAGACTTGCTCCTAGGTGTAGTGAAGTTAAGTGTAGTATGGTGGTTGTTGTTGTTGTTTTAACTACAATCAGTATGTGTTGGTCATGACAAGCAAGTCTTGGTCTTCCTGTGTGTTTAATAAACAGTTGACTATTCATTCCCTCTTTAGTCTTTGAAAATGAAAGGTGAATGCTTGAGTATCTAGGGGCTTCCTTTCTGTCTAGCCAGCCTTAAGCTAGAATACCACCCCATGGCTGGAAATACCTTCAAAGTCAGTCATAAGCCCACATTCCAGGCACCCATTAAAACTGATTAGTTCAGCAAGGGAAAAAAGAGGATCAGGGTGAACACTTGGAAAAACTTGTACAAAACTGCTCAGTGCTTCTGAAAAGGGCGGTCACCAAATCGCTTGTTAACCTAGAGATCACAGCTGTAATTAAGTTGTGTCTTTCCAAGTAAGCTTGCACTTGTGAGATTGACGACTGACTAGAAACAACTGCTGAGCTCATGGCAGTTAACTATATGTTCAAGTTTCATTTAATGTAACTCTAATGTTAAACACCTAGAACAGTAAGCTTTGGTTTTGAAAAAGTACTCTTGGTAACTGCTTGAACTATTTTGTATTATAGAGTTACAGAACAAACTCTTCGCCCTGCTACAGAAAAAGAGGACGGTGAGTGAGGATAAAAAATGTATTGAGTTGATTTTCTTTTTCTCAAGTATAAACCTTGCTAATCAGTCATGCTCTATCAGTGTGGCTTGTAAATGATTTTCCTGATCTGAAAAAAACTTGATTATCTCCGGTCAGTTTAATTAAAACATTAATTCGTTGCAGTTAAAAAAGGAAGCATCAGAGGGGAGCTATTTAACACGTCTTTTTTGTTATTGTGTCATATTGGACAAGTGTATGGCTCGAAGGTAGGTTTAAGACTAGCTACTTTCTCATCCTTTTTTACTGCTCTTTTATTATTAACAAGTGTTCACCGAAGGCAAATTTGAATGATGCCCGAGACGAAGGGGACTATTCAACAATATCGACTGAGCGCGAAGCGAATAAATGTCTTGGTATAATAATTAATGTTCAGATGATTATTAGAGCAAAAACGTAAATTGTAGTTTATTTCTTTGCCTTCAACTTGTCTTGCGTCAAGAATGTGGCCTCTACACTCGCAGACATAATTAGTTCGGACAGTTTCCCAGAAGAACGTCTATGACGCTCTTTCACCCCTTTCCCCTACCAATGTTATCAGTTGCCAATGGGTCCATGTCATCTTGCAGACCAACATTGA